ATCTCTTTTGATTGGGAACCGTAATTGTTAAAATCTTTGACAATCTGCCCATCATTTCTTGAAAAATCCAAAATTTCATCACTTTCCATTGTTTCTTCTTCGTTGTTGCAGAAAATTGATAACGTACTTGAATCACTTCTCCTCAAGCTGTACATTTCTTGAAAACAAACAGGCGGTAAATCAAGCAAATCTCGTACAGATGGAGATTGATTTGGATCCTCCATTTGTTCATCGGTATACACTTGAAGGGATGGTTCTTTTAAAACAAAAACTTCACCACCAATAGAACGAACTGCAGACTGCAACTCCTCGATACTGTATGAACCCATGTTTGATGATACTAACTAAAGTAACTGTGAGCACCGTCGAATCACTCAATTTATATGTAAAGACGCCGATGAAAAAAAAATTGGTTTATTGAGTAGATAAAAATACTATCCTTAGCAATAAAAGGAGATGGTAAAATAATAGTAAATATAAAGTAAAATTTGGGTAAATATTAACTGTTGATTACTAATATTGTAAGAGGAGAAACAATTGTGTAAAAGAAGATGGTAAAAATTTTGAAATCGCTTCTGTTTTTATTGCAAGACTCCCTCAACATATGTCATAAATGAATTAGTATTAACATAATTTGGCATTAACCAGGATTAGTTAATCTATTTACATTAAAAGCAATGACGCTATACAAAAGAATTAACTGTTAACATTTATGGCTTTGTTTATTTCGTTTAGCAACAAGATACCACATGTACTTTGAACAGATTTATTGATACTCGAACCTGATTTAGATAGTGACTGCATTTGTAATCCATAAAAGATCGGCAGATAAGATAGAAAATGGGATGTTTATTATATCTAGGTAAACATTGCATTTGAAATTAATAGGGCGTTTTTATTCACTACGGCTATTACACTGAATATCTCCGAAACATATGAGATTAAACAGATTGAGCGCTCGACCTACGATTTTCAAGGTCATTGAGGTCATTTAACGAAGGTAGCATTTAAAGGTCATTTTAAGGTCGTCGTGAAAGAGCACAAAGTTACACTCAAACCTAAGGTTTGATGATATTCCGTCAAAAGGCAGCTGAGATACAGCCTTTTCTTATAAACTTAACTCTTGAAGTGTTTTCAGATTGAAACATGCCTATCTTCCAATCCGTTCATCACAGACAGTTCAAAATAAAATCTGAGGTGTGATTTGATTTGTTCTTTCACACGACGACCTTAAAATGACCTTTAAATGCTACCTTCGTTAAATGACCTCAATGACCTTGAAAATCGTAGGTCGAGCGCTTCAATTCTGTTTAGCCCTCTGGTCAAGTCTCATTCATATGACTTTTAGTTCCGAGATTCAGTGTAATAGCCGTAGTGGATAAAAAAAACGCCCTGTATAAACAGATGAGATCATTTATACATTCACTTTGAATTTTTTAAGTAAAACAGTAAAAACAAACAAAACATGTCTTGTTTTGATTATCTTCAAGCTTCTACATCTTCAGCTTTACCATCTTCATCAACGACTATGACTAGTTCCGACTTTAGTTGCGCGTGTGTTAATAAATCGCTGATTGAAATATTGTCTAAAACAGACAGCAATCTAGTGCCCCAAGTTAATCTGTCCAAAGCTGAAATTGACGATGAAATGAGCAAGTGCCAAATTTACAGTGAAAATACTATTGCTTCTGATGAGGAAATTTTCAATGATTTTGAGTCAATTAACAAGTTATTTACGGAAGAGACAATTGATGCGACGCAAACTGAATCACCGTTTGATGTTAAGGCGGACGAAATTCGTTACAAATGTGGTAAAGTTCTAAAGGATCATATTCAAACAATTAAAAAAATTAAACGTTAAATGGTTCATTCGAAACTAATGTTAAACCGATGGAATAAAATTTATCAAAAAACTGCTGACACACTTATGGCTGTTCAAGACGAATACGAGGCTTTATTCAACATGTATAAAAATGGTATCAAATCAAACGTTCCACAGACAAACACCTCAAAAACCAACCAAGCGTTCCAAGCACTTTATGATGACACATTTGATTGTTATGTTTGTCTGGACAAGAAAGTTGCTGGATCCAGATTTGTTTGGTTTGATTCATGTTCACATGGAGCATGTTCGACTTGCATCAAATTAATTAAACGTTTACAGTGTGGCGTCTGTTTAACTCCATTTCACAAAAGATTTAACAGAATTGTTAAACGTAATGAATTGTATACTTTAGTAACTGTATCCAGTCGTGACATTAAATAAGTTTTTTTTATAAAATTTAGTTTGTTTCTGAATCATTGTTAACTGTATCACGTTGTGACATTAAATAAATTCAGACTTTGTTTTTTTTACAACATAGTTATCCCAGTCGTGGCAAAATTGAGCTATAAAATAAATGTCCTTTCAGTTTCTACAGTACAGTTGTTTAGTAGATTATGTCGTTAACGTGTCCATGTGAGAATTTATGAAAGCGAGAAAATAAAATGTTTGGTTAGCAATTTCGCTCATTTTATGATTAAACGTGATCGACCGTTATCTCAAACAAAAATTAAAGAGTTACTTGAAACTAGTGATTTAAGATCAATTAATTTGTTGGAAATAAGTGTGTCTACGTCCACAGAAGAATTTGCCGAGAGTCAAATTTTGTTTACTTTTGTGAAAACTTATTGTCTCCGTCATCCAAACTTTTTATTCCACGGACCCGATCTTGGTGATTTGAAATTGAAAACGTCTTTTTTCCAGTCAACATGAACCAAGTGTTTACTTGCACACCGATTGGCAAACAGTACAAAATTGGTAAAAATGTATTTATTGGGACAACTTTGCTGTATAAAATTGAAACGTTGGACTGTACAATCTTAACTGATGCAGAGTTTAATGTGAGTTGTTTACCTGAAAACTTTTCTATAAAAAAAATGCTCCACAAAAGATGGCAATTTAAAATGCATGTCGACGTTTTACCAACATCAATGATTAAACGACAAACGTTGCGAGACCGTGTGATTGGAGGCCAAATCTTGTCTTACCAATACACTGAGGTATCCATAGATGGTAACAAATGTATCTATTACGGTTTTATTCCTACGATTGATAAAAAAATGGACGATTCTCACACAAAGTGTTATCTTAGCTCGAAAAGTGTTTGGCCTAGGAAATTGTACATTTTTATAAAAAAAGGATTACCCTGTCCATGTTCGTATGGTTGTATTATATGGGAATGTCGTACAAGTGACTATGTTACGGTGAAGAAAATGTGTCAGAAAAATATTGATTGGGGTAATTTGTACATTATGATGGGAGATTTTGATGAATTGTGTACCGAAAAAATAAAAGAGTTACGATCTTGTGAGGTATGCGCACAGTGTTTTAATTGTTCAAATAGTAGTGTATTCTGTAAACTTCATAGAATTTGTAAGCATAAATCATCGAAACCTATTTGCCTGTGCCACGCTTGGCAACAATTTTTTCTGATCCTGCGCTGAACGTTTTATTGCTATGTTTAAACCTGCTCTATAATCCAATTCTTGATCTCGTTTCAATCTTTTAATTTCATTTTCCATCTTTGTTCTGTTCACTTTCGTGTATCGTCGTTTTGTTTGACTGACAGTCGAATCATAAACCTTGTAATCTTTATGTCGTTTGAATGGCACCATCTGTATTCTTTGTTCCAAACTGATAACTCTTTACTTTGAAAGAAACAATTTAATCGAAATATAATCGCCATAAAAGTTTGTTCCATCGACGCTATTCTATGGAAATTAATTATTGCCAAATCTACACAATTGAACAACATCAATGTGGCAATGTTGTTTAAAGATTCAAACACTTGCGGTTCAAACCTAACATCCAATGTTAATTTATCTTTTGCCACACGCATCAAAGAAAGTATGTGCGATTCTAGGATAAAATTTCGAATGTTAAACTCTGTAAACTTGATGTTGTGAAAATTTTGAGAAATAAGTTGATTAAGGTCCTTTGTAAACGTATTCAAATCACGTAGAGTTACAATGCCACCAATGTCACCTGCACCAATTGAAACCAAATAATGGGCAAACATTTTGATAATGTGATTGTAGACTGATGAAAAAACTTTATGCAATTGTGAAAATTTGCTATCCAATGAATCCAAAGCAACTGGTAGAAATTTGAAAAAGTTTATCACATCATTTTTATGTATCCTGATACCATGCAAGTTAAATTGATTGTAACGTTCCAGCAAATAATGACAAGTTTGTACAGTTGTTCTTGTAATTCTTGCCAAAGTATGTGGACACATGTAGTGATGAATGTTGCATTGTTTCATTAAAAAAAACCAAACATCTTTGATATGTTTTTTTAAAGATGACGTGCATTCAGAAATTGAAAGCATTATATCCAGAAATCTTTTTACGTAGAGCAAAAGGTTGTTGATGGTTTTAGAAGTGAAACTTTCCAATTGCGATCCCAAATCAAGACTCAATTTTTATCTGGTAAAATGTTTAAAGCATAAAGTATTAGTTGTTTAATTTTGTACGTTCCAAACTTTCATCCCAGTCCAACAAATCAGTCGACGATAAACAATAATAACTGTAGGCAAAAGATTCTAACTCCATCCTTTAAATAGTTTAAATCAGACGATTTTTTCCGTTTGTGGTGAAATACTCAGACAAATAATAATAGACTGCTTCAGTCATATGTTCAGGAATAGCTCCATAAACAATGTAGTACGGGTAACTTTGATCTACATTTGTATTGTTGACTCGTTTCAAGGTTACATTACATGCATCCAAACCATATTCAGGATAAAATTTCAATTTAACACCAAACGGGGTCTTGATTAATGCTTTGTTGAAGTGGTTTTGAATTTAAAATGTAATAAATTGGTACCAAATTCCAATTCTTATGGTAGGTTATAGAATTTATAGCGGCAATTTCAAGTCGTCAACAATTTCACACTAGGAACACCTATGACTTTGTCTCTAGAGTGCTTTGGTCTTTATGATTGTAGGTTTCGCTTTTATGTTTTGCGGTGGATTTTCGGCAAAGTTATTGGAAATTTTGAAAGAGGTCGCTGATTGTAAAGTGTTACACACGATTCAATCTTTTTCTCTGATGATCTATTTATACTTCTTAAATCTCGATTTGATTGCTGAGTCCGTATTTCAGTTGAACCACCATCACCATCATCATCCGATTCAAGTAAAAACGCAAAATCATCATCGGTATAATCAGATTCAGAATCAGTAATTGAATCATCAGTAGACGAGTAATCATCATCATCTGTATCGTTGTTACCAACCACTTCTTCGTCACATGAATCTTGACTGTTGTCAACCATAAATTCATCATCATCCTCGTCATCAGTTTCGTCATCGATGTCGTCATCATTGGCAACATTAATCATTTGCCTTTTCAACAATTCAAAATTTTTACCTTTTCTAGATCGAGTGACTATACCACCATCTACTGATGAATTATTAAACTTGTTATTGCTAGTCTGCTGTACGTTTGCGTCTCCACTCGTGTTTGGCGGATTATTTGGATTATTATTTTGCTCTTCGTTTAAATTTTCTCCATAAACGTCTGGCGGTCCATTCAAATTATTGTCTTGATTTTCGATTAACTCTTCCATAACAACATCAGTTGGCGGTTCATTTAAAATTTGTTGTTCAAACTCACTAACAAAATTTGTTGATGGTACATTTAAATTTTCACTTAAAGTTTGCTGATCAAGTCCACTAAAACATCATTTGGTATTTTGGTGTATTCATTAACGATTGATGTTTCGTCGTTTTGATTGTATTCATTAACGATTGATGTTTCGTCGTTTTGATTGTATTCATTAACGATTGATGTTTCGATGTTTTGATTGTATACGATTGATGTTTCGTTGTCTTGATTGTAAACGATTGATGTTTCGTCGTTTTGATTGTATTCATTAACGATTGATGTTACGTTGTTTTGGTTGTATTCACTAACGACTGGTGTTTTGTTAATCGGATTGAATCCACTAACGACTGGTGTTTCGTTGTTAATTTGATTGTATACGATTGATGTTTCAATGTTTTGTTGTATATATCCATTTTCGTTTGTTGGTATGTTAGATTCAGGAATCTCTTTGATTAATGTATTATGTTGAATTTCAAAATCTTGGGCTCCATTACATTCGACGTAATCTCTTCTAATTACATCACTAATAACTGTGATGAATTCGTTCAAGTGTGGATAGGATACGATTGGTTGATTTAAAACTGGGTAAATCTATAAAATCGTCTAAACAATTGTAAAGTCAATACCTGACTGTATCTCTTTGATTGGGAACCGTAATTGTTAAAATCTTTGACAATCTGCCCATCATTTCTTGAAAATCCAAAATTTCATCACTTTCCATTGTTTCTTCTTCGTTGTTGCAGAAAATTGATAACGTACTTGAATCACTTCTCTCGCTGTACATTTCTTGAAAACAAACAGGCGGTAAATCAAGCAAATCTCGTACAGATGGAGATTGATTTGGATCCTCCATTTGTTCATCGGTATACACTTGAAGGGATGGTTCTTTTAAAACAAAAACTTCACCACCAATAGAACGAACTGCAGACTGCAACTCCTCGATACTGTATGAACCCATGTTTGATGATACTAACTAAAGTAACTGTGAGCACCGTCGAATCACTCAATTTATATGTAAAGACGCCGATGAAAAAAAAATTGGTTTATTGAGTAGATAAAAATACTATCCTTAGCAATAAAAGGAGATGGTAAAATAATAGTAAATACAGGGCGTTTTTTTTATCCACTACGGCTATTACACTGAATATCTCCGGAACTAAAAGTCATATGAATGTGAGACTTGACCAGAGGGCTAAACAGAATTGAAGCGCTCGACCCTACGATTTTCAAGGTCATTGAGGTCATTTAACGAAGGTAGCATTTAAAGGTCATTTTAAGGTCGTCGTGTGAAAGAGCACAAAAAGTTACACTCAAACCTAAGGTTTGATGATATTCCGTCAAAAGGCAGCTGAGATACAGCCTTTTCTTATAAACTTAACTCTTGAAGTGTTTTCAGATTGAAACATGCCTATCTTCCAATCCGTTCATCACAGACAGTTCAAAATAAAATCTGAGGTGTGATTTGATTTGTTCTTTCACGACGACCTTAAAATGACCTTTAAATGCTACCTTCGTTAAATGACCTCAATGACCTTGAAAATCGTAGGGTCGAGCGCTTCAATTCTGTTTAGCCCTGGTCAAGTCTCACATCATATGACTTTAGTTCCGAGATATTCAGTGTAATAGCCGTAGTGATAAAAACGCCCTGTATAAAGTAAAATTTGGGTAAATATTAACTGTTGATTACTAATATTGTAAGAGGAGAAACAATTGTGTAAAAGAAGATGGTAAAAATTTTGAAATCGCTTCTGTTTTTATTGCAAGACTCCCTCAACATATGTCATAAATGAATTAGTATTAACATAATTTGGCATTAACCAGGATTAGTTAATCTATTTACATTAAAAGCAATGACGCTATACAAAAGAATTAACTGTTAACATTTATGGCTTTGTTTATTTCGTTTAGCAACAAGATACCACATGTACTTTGAACAGATTTATTGATACTCGAACCTGATTTAGATAGTGACTGCATTTGTAATCCATAAAAAGATCGGCAGATAAGATAGAAAAATGGGATGTTTATTATATCTAGGTAAACATTGCATTTGAAATCCAATATACAGGGCGTTTTTTTTATCCACTACGGCTATTACACTGAATATCTCCGGAACTAAAAGTCATATGAATGTGAGACTTGACCAGAGGGCTAAACAGAATTGAAGCGCTCGACCCTACGATTTTCAAGGTCATTGAGGTCATTTAACGAAGGTAGCATTTAAAGGTCATTTTAAGGTCGTCGTGTGAAAGAGCACAAAAAGTTACACTCAAACCTAAGGTTTGATGATATTCCGTCAAAAGGCAGCTGAGATACAGACTTTTCTTATAAACTTAACTCTTGAAGTGTTTTCAGATTGAAACATGCCTATCTTCTAATCCGTTCATCACAGACAGTTCAAAATAAAATCTGAGGTGTGATTTGACGACCTTAAAATGACCTTTAAATGCTACCTTCGTTAAATGACCTCAATGACCTTGAAAATCGTAGGGTCGAGCGCTTCAATTCTGTTTAGCCCTCTGGTCAAGTCTCACATTCATATGACTTTTAGTTCCGGAGATATTCAGTGTAATAGCCGTAGTGGATAAAAAAAACGCCCTGTATAAAGTAAAATTTGGGTAAATATTAACTGTTGATTACTAATATTGTAAGAGGAGAAACAATTGTGTAAAAGAAGATGGTAAAAATTTTGAAATCGCTTCTGTTTTTATTGCAAGACTCCCTCAACATATGTCATAAATGAATTAGTATTAACATAATTTGGCATTAACCAGGATTAGTTAATCTATTTACATTAAAAGCAATGACGCTATACAAAAGAATTAACTGTTAACATTTATGGCTTTGTTTATTTCGTTTAGCAACAAGATACCATGTACTTTGAACAGATTTATTGATACTCGAACCTGATTTAGATAGTGACTGCATTTGTAATCCATAAAAAGATCGGCAGATAAGATAGAAAAATGGGATGTTTATTATATCTAGGTAAACATTGCATTTGAAATCCAATATACAGGGCGTTTTTTTTATCCACTACGGCTATTACACTGAATATCTCCGGAACTAAAAGTCATATGAATGTGAGACTTGACCAGAGGGCTAAACAGAATTGAAGCGCTCGACCCTACGATTTTCAAGGTCATTGAGGTCATTTAACGAAGGTAGCATTTAAAGGTCATTTTAAGGTCGTCGTGTGAAAGAGCACAAAAAGTTACACTCAAACCTAAGGTTTGATGATATTCCGTCAAAAGGCAGCTGAGATACAGCCTTTTCTTATAAACTTAACTCTTGAAGTGTTTTCAGATTGAAACATGCCTATCTTCCAATCCGTTCATCACAGACAGTTCAAAATAAAATCTGAGGTGTGATTTGATTTGTTCTTTCACACGACGACCTTAAAATGACCTTTAAATGCTACCTTCGTTAAATGACCTCAATGACCTTGAAAATCGTAGGGTCGAGCGCTTCAATTCTGTTTAGCCCTCTGGTCAAGTCTCACATTCATATGACTTTTAGTTCCGGAGATATTCAGTGTAATAGCCGTAGTGGATAAAAAAAACGCCCTGTATATTAGATTGATCAACAAGATTGTTCAACTCAAGCAAAGTAAGTAAATTAACGTTAATTAAAGTCAAACAATTTAATGTGATACATTTAATCTGATTGTAAGTCAATAGTCAAAGAATCAGACAAGATGATTAAATGTTTAACCATTGATACCATTTCCATCTTAAGGTGATAATTGATTCATGATGATGATTTACTTTTGTGTATTCAACATATAAAATTAAATGAATCAAATCAAATGAATACAAGGAAATGATGATGATTATTTTTGTTGCAATTTCTTTTTTTCTGCTTGTTAATATCTGAGCAACACTTTTGTAATATAATATTTTTGATAATATAGTCTGAATGTCAACCCTGTTGATAACATTTCTTCAGGGAGAATTGATAAGTTTCTATCTCCATCAAGTCCTAACGATAATAATGATAGAATTCATAATCAGTTGTTATCATTTTTGCACGGAAAAACTAAAACAAAAAAGTTCATTTTCTAACAATAGCCTCGAGTAAAATGACGGGAAAATAATCGCAAAGACTTCAGGTCATAACTTTATCGATGTCCACACATGAGCCAATAAACTTTTTTCGGTTCATAAATCAGTTGAATTTTTGGAATTTTTTTCTAGAAAATCGAACTAATTAAACGATAATTAGATTAAAACGGTGAGAAAATTGTGTCATGATGATGAGATTTACTTGAAAAGGGAAATATCATCATTTAATTGTCTGAATTTTGATATTCCAAATGAATTAACGATAAAAAGAAAAGTTTCGAAAACTAATCTCTCAATAATCTAAATTGTCACTGAAATCTAATACATTACACAGGGAATTTGATATAATATCACACTGGCATTTGCTTCTTATCGTTATTATATCATGTTAATCAGAATTTGGATTCATATATGATGAAGATAATATTGAATTATCCTTTGTTAGACTTTGAAGCAAACAGATTAAAGCCAGAGAGAGAGAGAGAGAGAGAGAGAGAGAGAGAGAGAGAGAGAGAGAAAGAAAGTAGTTCAGTTCTAATCTTGACAGTTACCTCAAGTACCATGATATTAGTAGTTTTATTAATATATATTCTGAATAATTTATTGCTATATTATCAATCGCATGAATCGTGGTGCAACTTTAAAGAGGAATGTTAGAACTTCAACTGAATTGATAAGATGATATTATTGCAAGAAGTTTTTTTTTATATTCAGGGTAAATCTTGTTCCCTTTTTTTATTATATGATCTTGTTGTCATCGTCATCATCATTTTTCATCGTCATCATGATGATCATCATTTGCTCAATTCTATCAATGAATATGCAGAAAGTTATTTGCATTACAGATTACTTTTCATGATCCACTTCTGGTCTTTGATTAATCATGAAAAGTGATCAATGTTCATGATACTCTGTCTGAACATGAAGATGTTTAAATTTATACTCATTGAAATTATGATGACAACAATTGAATTTCAACTCAATTCAAATTATCATGAGTTCAATTTTTGAAACATGAAAACTTGTGATTATTCAATTTCATTCAAAATCTTCTGTCTGATCTACATTTCCATTTCTTTGGCCTTCTTTTTGATAACTGACCGCCAATGAATTGGACATTATTACAATTATATTCCCAGAATAATATTATCAAACTGTTTTCACTTGATTGAAGTTTTCTGGTAACGAGTTGCTATTGACTTTCAACCAAATCAAAGTCAATCAGTTCAAAATCAACTCAGCTGATTACATGAACGAAATGGTCAGATATTAAGCTCTGTATTCATCATGATAGGTTGACCATTACAATGAAAGTTTCTTGATGTATAAATTTGGTAAATATGAAAATCGCATGATACTATTGTATCTTGATGATAAATATTCTGATTTTGATAATAATAAAGATAATGAGATGATGCTATTCCTCCCACTAGTTTAACCATCAATTGGTAAATTACCTGGACTAATCTAAATTAGGTAAGTCCAATAGGATTGACCAAAGAGGGAGAAAATGAGATGAAATGAATGACCAGGGCTGAGATGATAACAACAACCATTATAATAATAAGTGACCATTATCAAAGTCCACTGTGTGTGTTTCCCTTTCTCTCTCATTCTCATAATAATACATATCTATTTACCTTCATGATAATATAATGATAACGTTATCGAGTTGATTGAAGTTATCGATGAGCCTTGACGATTACCTATGATTTGCAATGTCCAAAACAACAACGACGATCATCATTATTATAATTGTCATTACATTTATTTCACTCTTCATGTAACTCATTGAGAGTCAATAGTAAAAAGAGATATGATATCTTATGGTCAAGTCTTTTGACCAACACAATCACAATTCTTGGTGGCAGAGTGAAAGCTTTTCATACTCTAG